CTCGTGCGTTTCACAGAGCTACATGGAGGACATATGGAACACATGCTTCGAGTAGCTGCGTATTAGCGGGACCAACGTGCAAGGGATTATTACCATGTTATGGGATGTCCAGAGGGGGGGCTGGCGGGGGCCTGCGCGATGCCCCGCCCCCCCCCCCAAATTGCGGCGAGGGCCGCCGCCCGCTTCCCCGCCCTCCTCGCCGCCTCCTTTCGCCCGGGCAAAGGCGGAGACGTCAGTGGTCACGTTGGCGCGCCGCGGGATCTCGCAGGTGCAGCCATTGATGGGGCATCGAGCAGGCCGGCATGCAGGCTGCCGTGGAGCTCGGGAAACGACCGCCTGGCGCCCCGCGTGCAGCTGCTGCATGCGGCGGAACAAATGGGGACTATCGTGCGATCTGCCAGTGGTCAAACGACGGTCGCATCGCGGTAAGGCGACCATCGCATATAGCGGCCGTCGTTAGTTCGCGTTCGGCGCTTGGCCTTGGGTGAGAAGGCAAGCGTTGCAGGCCTGCGCCAGGCAATGTCGGGAGCTCGAGGGGCCTCAGGAGGGACCTGCACTGGGAGGACCTACTGGGCCCAAATCTACCACAACTTCCACCTCTTTCCTTGCGTTCAGGCACGCTCAGGCACGACGGCAGCTGAGGCTACTACGGTGCACCGTGGATGTGCCCAGGACCGTTCCCCATGAACTACGCCTAGGTTCCGTAACCTAGTTCGGTTTTGTTACTCAGCAGCTGAAATGCGCGCAGCCCGAGACGAGATCGCGGGCGATGGCGCAGGAGGGCCCGACAGCGTGGGCCAGCGCGGTGCCCAATCCAGAATCCAGCGGGAGCTTTGGGCGCGCTCTCGTGCAGCGAGCTTTGCGCCGGGGAGGGCCCATCGAGCAGATCTTCGGCGGCGGTGAGTGCCGCCTGAAGATCGCGCCCGCGACCCTCATCATAACGCCGCAGATCTTTGCCGACATCCGCTCTCGGTCCGAAAAGTTGCTTGCCTGCCTCCAGCGTCAAGAAGAAAGGCTCGTCGCCACACTCGGCAGAATCGAATCTGCCAGGAGCGCGAGCCCCAAATAGGAGACGGAGCGATACCGGGTGAAGTTTGCTGGAGCAGCAGATCGAGCAGGTCGGGCGGGCGGCGGGAGCGGCCGGTGAGCTCAGCCATGCTATGAACGACGCCAGCAGGCACGTGCTCGGAGCATTCCCATGGGGGCAGGACTACTCTCGCCGCCAGGCAGACGACATCGATGGCGTCTACGCGAAGTGAGCTAAGTCGCCGCAGGGGTTCGGATATGACGTCGCCGCGTCGACAGACAAGGAAACGAAGCAAGTACGCGCGCCGATCCAGTGTGCTTTCAGGCCGACCTGCCCGATGTCTTCTCCGTCGATCCAGGGGCGGCACCAGTCAGTTGATCCATGTGATTTCGCAGGGCGGTGGTCTCCGCATCCGCGACCTAGCAGTTGCCGCCGCAGTGGGATGGGGAGTCGGGCTCGGGGGCCCAGCGAGCGACCGCGAACGAGTCAGTGGCAGCATTAAGCATTCTGATCGGTCGAGGTTGAGAACTTTTACGGCCAGCCTTTCTTGCGCCAGCCAGTGTGGCGCTGCTTCCATCTGCCCAGGGAGTTCCAGTATTCCTGAGCTGAGTGGCTTCTTCTCCCCACCTCCAGAAAACGGCAGTGGGGGCGGGTGCCGACGCGCAAATGCAAAGCCTTTCTTTGTTGTTGTTGTTGTTGTTGTTGTTGTTGTTGTTGTTGTTGTTGTTGTTGTGGTGGTGGTGGTGGTGGTGGTGGTGATTGTGTGTGTGTGTGTGTGTGTGCGTGCGTGCGTGCGTGCGTGCGTGCGTGCGTGCGTGCGTGCATGTGTGTGTGTGCATCGCGCGAAAAATGGGCCTACCAGCAAGGACTGCTCTAGACCGAAGTGTTGCACATAATATGCTCAGATAAAATGGTCTCCTCCAGAGTGAGCGCGAACTCCTTCTTTCTTTCTTGTGCCAGTCTTTGTGGACAGGCCATCAGCTCCGGCAGGCCGGTTACCCAGTCAGCACCACTTGCGTGTGTGGAGAGCCGTCGGATTGTCTGTCCCATCGACTACATAACTGCCCGTGCACGGCGCCCCTGAGAGGCCAGCTCCTCGCGGGCGCCGACAAAGTTTTATTGGCAGATCGGCGCAGAAATTTTCCATTGGTCTGCGGCTTCGTGCAGCTGCCCGCGCCCATCGCCAATCCGCCTCAAGGTTCTGGAACCGGCCAGTTCCAGTTCTGGTGCCAGGGCCCCGGCGCCTCTATCGCAGAGGCATTCGAGGGGGAAGTTTTCACCGACGGGTCGTGTTTCAATTACGGCCCCGCCCCCTTCCACTCGGCGGGGTGGGCTGTCGTTAAACTCGCGCCAGCGGGCGAGTTGCGCGCCGCGCTATTGGGGGCCGTGGGGAGCGCCTACCCCTAAACATCACCGGCCGCAGAGCACATAGCGGTGCTCGCGGTCATGGAGCACTGTCCCCGTGCGTCGATCATTTATTCGGATTTTCTCGGCTTGGTCCGAGTGGCCGATGCCGCGTGGTCGAGCATCGCGTCGCGCCAACACCTATATGCAGGAATTCGCGTGCAGATCAGTGCCCCCCCATCTTGGGGCCGAGATTTTCGCATCGAGAAAATCCCAGCCCATGTCGACCCGGCCTCCCTGCCCTAATTGACCCGCGAGTGGTATTTGGCCGTGGGGAATTACTGGGCAGACAAGTATGCAAAAAGGGAGCCCTTACTCTTGCTCAGCCTTCTGATGCCGAAGGGCAAGGATGGACAGACGAAGAGGCCACTTTAAAACGATACCTGAAGTACATTATCCAAGCTCTTGCCCTCTTCCCCAAGTTGGCTCCGACCAAGGACCAAGGCAATGCGCTCGACGTTTGATAAGAACCTGCGCCAGGAGGGATTCGTGACGGGTGTAGGAGCAGCGCGCCGAACTCTACCCTGCCCTCCGCTCCCCCCACCCCCGGCCGCGCGGCCGACTGCAGGTGCGGCTGTAGAGGCGTGTGCCAGTCGGCCGCGCCCCGCCGATGGCCACGCATGGGTGTGGAAGCGGAGCCGTTGGGTTTGTAGCACCTGTCTGTGTTTTTTCACGCAGCGCTGCTAAATCAGCGCCACGTGCCACCCCCTGCAGAGGGCACAACACAGCGCTGTCAGATTTGTCGCAGAACCCTCGCAACCACAAGGTGCAATTGTCAAATTACACCCATCGGGGTAGTATTCATCTGTAGCCAGCGCGGCGCATGCACCGAATCTGGCGATCTCAAAGGTTTCGGCAAAGATTGCCCCACTCGGCTTACTTCGCCTGGCATCGAGCACTCCTGGCAGCGTTTCTCAAGAGGGCAACGCCCGAATCACAAGCTCGGCCCAGCAAAGTGCCCGGACGAGTATATGCCCTTGTCAGCAGTGTTTAAGCCGTAAGTTCACATTCCACTCTAGCTGTGTAACCAGATTTGGGGACGGAGGGGGAGCTCAGGGGGAGGTATATTGTCTGGGTGGCCTACGCAGAGGCAGTGCACGCTGCTTCGGCAGTCGGTGTGGCGCAAGCGCGCGTTTCGACCATTGCGATACAATGGAATGCCATCTGCCCGGCCCGATTGACCAGCCCAGGCGCCCCCTTCTTTGCATGCATGTCACCGACTCGGCGGTTTCTCGTTCCCCTCCCGTTCCTTCCTTCCCATGATGTGGCCAGTGTATTCCAGCCCGCACGGCGCGCGTGCTTTCTCTATATATTGATCGTGCGTTGCGGCTCGCCCCCACCACGCTGCTATGCCATGGGTTGTACTTCGCACCTGCACATCGATTAATTGCCCCCCTTCCCCACTATGATGTGCTAACTACTGTGGCGTATCTCCCCCGATCTTCCGCTGCGCGGGGCTCATCAATCCGTGTCTGCCTCCCGATGCGTCAGTGGCGGTGTGTGCCTTCCCCAGCCTGCCTCTATCTTCTTGCTTCTTTCTCTCTCCCTTCGCTGTTGCCCCGTCGTCCTCTGTCATTGTGCTTACCCGGCCTTCTTGTATCTTAGTCCGTCCCGCTATTTTTCCAAGCACAAGGAACTTAAGGTCTTCGGCCAGCTCTTCCATGGTGTATCCTGTGTGCCCATGGGCAGCTGATCCACCATTGTGCCGTTTTATTTGGCCGTTTGTGCGCACGCCGCCCCCATTATGCGTCATGATCTGGCGGCGTGGGTGTGAGCGGTCCCCAACGTGCCTCTTGACGTGGTGGTCCGAGGGCTAGCCTTCCTTAGCCTGACTTGCCACAACATTCCACAGGGAACAGCCACCCTCAAAGGCGGTGTAATCCGCCAGTATCCTCCTCCTTCCCCTCTTTCTCCTGCTTCCCCCCCTCCTCCTCCTGCTCCTCCTCCTCCTCTTCCTCCTCCTCCTCCTCCTCCTCCTCCTCCCCCTCCTCCCTCTCCCTCTCTCTCCTCTCCTCCTCCCTCCTCCCTCCTCCCTCCTCATTCCTCACTCCTCCCTCCTTCTTATTTTCCTTCTTCCTCCCTCCTCCTCCTCCTCCTTCCTCCTTATCCTTTTTGTTCTCCCTCCTTTTCTCCTTTTTTCCCATCCCTCTTTCTCTTCCATCTCCTTCTTTCTCTTCTTCCTTTTTCTCCTTCCTTTCTCCTTTTTCTCCATCGTCCGCTGCCTCCTCCTCTTCTCCTCAATCCTCCTCCTTTCTTCCGCATTTCCTCCTCCTCCTCCCCCCCCTCCTCCTCCTCCTCCTCCTCTCCTCCCTCCTCCTCCTCCCCTCCTCCTCCTCCTCCTCCTCCTCCTCCTCCTCCTCCTCCTCCCCCCTCTTCCTTGTTTTGCTTCCTTCTTCTTCCGCCTCCTCCTCCTCCTCCCCCTCCTCCTCCTTTATTTTCCCTGTTTCTCCTCCGTCTTGGTCTTCGGAGGCCACTCTTGTCGCCGCGGTTCGACGTGGCTCGAAAAGCGGGCCAAGATGGTTCTGCCAGGGTTCAAGGGATCGGTTTTGAAATGGTTTTGGCCGATAAGGTGGGAGGTTCAGTGGTGTACCACACCTTCGACAACAAGAACGCATATGCTCCGTTTGGCGCGATAGATATCGACGAAGACCCCGAGGGCGTGGACGTTCTCGACGCCAAAGATTGCCAAGATCGATGTACTTTAGATCAAACATGTGGCTGCGTCACTTTCAAAGAGTCCAAGCTGAAATGCTGGAAGCGGCGCGAGTGCGTGGTCTCGAAAATGACGAGCCCGTACAACGAGGGATACACGGTTTTCGTGAAGTCGGTGCCACGCTTAGTTTATGTCGTGCGGAGGGGTGGTGGAGGAGGGGGAAGAGGAGGAGCATGAGGAGGAGGAAGAGGAGGAGGATGAGGAGGAGGAGGAGGAGAATGAGGATGATGAGGAGGAGGAGGAGGAGGAGGGAGGAGCAAGAGTTGGAGGACGAGGAGAAAGGGGAGGAGGAGGAGGGGGAGGAGGAAGAGCAGGAGGAGGAGAAGGAGGGGGAGGAGGAGAAGGAGGAGGACATATTATACTGCAGCTTATCATGATGATGATGATGATGATGATGATGATGATGATGATGGTGATGATGATGCTGATGATGATGTTGTTGATGATGATGACGGTGATGATGCTGATGCTGATGCTGATGATGATGCTGATCCTGCTGCTGATGGTGAGTTTGATGATGGTGATGATGGTGATACTGATGCTGCTGATGATGATGATGAGGAGGAGGAGGAGGAGGAAAAAGAGGAAGAGGACGATGGGGGGAGGAGGAGGTGGAGGAGGAGGAGAAGGAGGAGGGGTATGAGAAAGGAAGAGGATGAGGAGGTGGAACGATGATAATGCAGCTGATGATGATGATGATGATGATGATGATGATGATGATGATGGTGGTGATGGTGGTGATGATGCTGATTCTGATGCTGATGCTGATGCTGATGCTGATGATGATGATGATGATGATGATGATGATGATGACGATGACGATGATGATGATGATGCTGATGATGATGAGGATGATGATGATGATGATGATGATGCTGATGCTGATGCTAATGCTAATGCTAATGCTAATGCTGATGCTGATGCTGATGCTGATGCTGATGATGATGATGAGGAGGAGGAGGAGGAGGAAGATGATGAGGAGGAGGGGAGGAGGAGGAGGAGGAGGAGGAGGAGGAGGAGGAGGAGGAGAATGAGGAAGCGGAGAGGGGAAAGAGGAGGATACAGGGAGAAGGTGGGAGGAGAAGTAGGAGCGAGGGGGATGAGGAGGAGAACGCAAATCGGATTTTAGCATTGTGAAAGGTTTTGAAGGGTTTCGTTGAGGGCTCCGAGATCATTGTAGGCTGTTTGACGCTGGCGCCCGGCCCGACTCTCAGCCCCAACGCTCCTGCCGTGCTTAGCCAAGTCGTTTTTCAATCTCTTCTGCATCTTTGCCGGTCGTCGTGGCGCCCCCGCGCCCGCTCCGCTGGACCAGACCCCTCCCCCCTCCACTGCGCACCCCGCACCGCCGGTGGACCCGCGGTTCGTCGATTCCCACAGCTGTGCGCTGATGGTTTCTTTGGAGGGGGGACTGATGCAGCCAGGGAGTGGCCAAAGGGGCGCTGCATTCGCTTAGAAAGCAGATCCAGGTTCTAACCTCTTTCCTCGCCTCGCTCCTCCGTCCTTCCTTCCACCAACGTGACTGTTGCTGTTGCTGTTGCTGTCGCTGCTGCTGCGTCTACTTTCAACGCAACTGCTAGTATCAAAGCGTATGCTTAGCCCTGCCTGAGACTTCTTCGCAACGGCGTCAGGAATACTGCTCAGGTTCGAGACGTCCTCGCCAGTCTGCCCGGTTGCAAACTAGTTGTCCAACCGCTTGCGAGTTAGTGGTGCGCTCGCTTGAAATATTGAGCCCCCATCTCTTGCACAATAACGGTTCGCCTGCTTGCTTGCGCAGTAGTGTCTTGCCCATTTGTAGTTCAGTTGTCTACCCTCTTTTTGGAATTACCGCCCGCCCGCTTGCAGAATAACGGCTCGCCTTTCTTGCAATCTACGATCTGCCAGCTTTTGGGCTAGCGAGATAAGATGTAGGCCCACAATGCCATTCTTGCATTGGTTTATGCAGGTTCGTCTTATCTCCCCGGGTACTGTATTCCGCATGTGCTCCGCACATCAGATTTCGTCCTGCAATTTCCGCATGAAGAGCCCCAGCTCAAGATGGGAGCGAGCTGGAACGCCGGCAGAAGTCGCAGAACAGTCACAGCATTGTTGTTGAGTGCTCTGGCCATCCGTGCGGCGAGGTCTGCCGCCGTGCCAGCGCCGCGCCCCACGTGGCGACTCCATCGAGGACCGCCCAGGAGGCCTCGGCACGTGGCAGTCCTCGCCCCCGAGCCTCCAGCGGCGAGGGCGTCCGACGCGCTCCCCCGCAGGCCTCGGGACGGCCGCAGCGCGCGGTGCCTGTCTTCCCCACTGCACGGAGGGCCGTGATTCGGGTGCAGCTCCTGGGAGGGCAAATTCTGTTTTCGCCCTGGTCCGAAGTCGGGCTTGATCCCGCTTGTTCCCGCTTGATCCGGCTTGATCCCGCTTAATCCCGTTTTATCCGGCTTAATCCTGCTTAGTCCGAGGCCCACTCCGGCGCAACAGCGCCCACATGTGGCTTGATCCTCCTTACTCTTGCCGACGAAAACCTCCCAGCAGTTGCCTCCTAGGTAACAGGTGGCACCTCTCTCCCCCCAAGTCCCACAGCGCAGCATGCATCGAATAAGAATCAGGAGGGAAAGAAACACACAGACACAATTAATCCTCGATTCCCCAGACAATATGGGAAAATACGGGAAGTGGGGGGGAGGACAGAAACCCAGAACATATGCGAGAATATGGGGCATATTTTTATTTGTGTGTATTTATTTGTGTGTCCCAGGGCCCCTTCAAAGAACAAGCAGCACGAACATCAAATCCGTAGCCATCTTGGCTCGAGGCGGCCCGTGGATCAAACGCTCGGTGCTCCGTGGCTCCCCCCTGCTGGCGCACCGCGGTGGAGAGAGCGCGGGAGCGCCGCCGTCACGCCTGCGCGTTCGCCCGGAAGTGCACGGCGGAGGGAGGAGACTGTACCTCGGGTGCTTCGGCGAGCTCCGGAGGCCGCTGCAGGCGCCCGCGTGCCTTCTCGACGTGACGAAGGCAGAGCAGCTCGAGCCCTTCCGCAGGGCGGGCCAGAGGGCCAAGGAAAGCGAGGACCACCGCACGCTGATACTACTGTGGCGGAAGGGCCACGAGGTCCATGCCAGGAGAGCGTTCCTCAGGAGGAGGCAAGGCGAGTTGGATGGCGTGCCCACAGAGGAAGTTGAGCAGATGCTCGGCTGGATCCGCAGGAAGGTCAACCTGAATCTTGATATTACAGGCGCCCTTATACATTTTCCGTTGCCTGGGCGCGTGGTCCATGCCGGCGCCCTCGTCTCGGGCTCACAGGTCACCGAGCTGGAGTGGCTCGTGGTGGCCGGCAGGATGTTTTTGTTGTACGACACGTGTACAGCAAGAGGGCACAGCTGATTTTCGAGCATAGCTACTTGATCTCGCAGCGCGTACGGGAGGATTCCGATTGCTCGCTGGTGGATGTCGACGAGGAGTCTTCAGAGCACAGCGATGCCCTCGACACTGGCGCAGACACATTGATTTTGCAGGAGGAGGATGGGTCCGAGACTGGCGACGAGGGGGAAGGCAATTCCTCAAATATTGCATACCCAGCGATGGCCCTCTTAATTCACATTCGTGGGGGCGGGATCCCGAACTGGAGGACGCGCTGTTGAAGGAGATGGGTGCGAAGGAGGCTTGCATGCAGCGTCATATGAAATAAACCAGGGCACGCGAAAGGCAGGCCTCTGTCTCGCGCACGGCGCTGATTAACATGTCAGCGTGTATGCGTTTTTTAAATCACTCTGCGTCTGCGCATTAGTTTGTGTTAGACATGTTGTCAGAGCTGTCAGAATTCATCGCCTTCTGGCGAATTGTGTTGGCCGACGGTGGCCACCGTGTTAAATATTTGTATAAGAGTCGGTGGGTTGCAATAGTGGCGCCTCCGAGTGGCGGCGAAGACTTTCGAGCATCGATTGCCTCCCCCAGCAACACAAAACACAACCATAAACTCTTGGAGCTCCGCGAGGATTTCATGGATCGGCGCTGGGCCCCCCTGGCGGCGCCTCTGGCGCCGCCCCTGGCGCGCTCCACGCGCGAGGGAGGGGGTCCAGCGCCGATCCAAGGAATCCGCACGGACGTCTGGAAGTTTACGTCGATGCAGTTTTTCGGCCCTCTGATGGAGCAGCTGGCATCCCCAACGGTGATCAGGCCATAGCATGTGACAGCCCGAGTTTGCCTGAGGACTCCTCGGGGAGTTTCTTGTGGTCTCCTGCGGGCCCTCTTTGAGGGGCCGCATGTTTTTTTTTTTTCGTCGTTGCAAGTCAAGGAGGCTTTAGCCACGGCGGTGACAAAGCAAGGATTTGACCACGGCTTGCCGCTCTCGAGCGCTGGAGATATCGATCACTGGATTCGGGATGCCGCTTGCGATTGCCTCCTTGCCAACGGTTGCATTATGAAGGTTCAGTGTCGACTGAGCAGCGGCACCTCTGGTGTGGCGGACGCTTGGCGCGAGCGCAGTCTTGCTTACGTCATTGGGCGGGCGCAGCGAGCACCTCATAGGGACCGCCAAGCAAAAGTGGTGATGCGGCCTATGTGAAAGGTGTGGGTTGGGCAATCCTGCTGGCGCGCGATTCAGAATCGGTTTGGATGTCGCTGCCCATAGCTCTTGCGTCGGACCCTGGGGCCTCCCGCAATGCCGAAGACACTTTGAGGCTCCTGGGGCCCAAACTGGCACTCCGAGCCAGATGACCCCTGGCAATGACATCCTGAACAGGGGAGACTGGCTTTTACGGGTAGCGACGAGTAATCTATCCAGGGGGGTCGTATGAGCGACGGCAGAAAACGGGTTCGTCTTCAACGACGTTCGCGCGTAAGCTTCCCGCGCAAGGTCGCGCGCAAGCGCACTCGTCGTGCCGCGATGGCGGCCCGCGTAAGCCGCGACGCAAGGCTATGATGTCATCGCGCGCAAGGCTCGGGGGTGGACAGAACCCCCACCCCAGGCGCCGCGCCGATCCCAGAAGTCCGCGCGGACCTCCGAGTCTTTATATGTTTGTGCCACTTTTTGTCCCCCTATGGAAGAGCAGCGCAAGCATGCGCCCCCGCCGCCTGTGCAGCACTCCTCGTGGCAGCACGGCTCGGCACGCGCGGCGCGGCGCGGCGCAGCACGCCCCCCTCCCCCCGGGCCTGCTCGGCGCTCGCGCGCCCGGGGCGCGGGGCCCGCGCGGCCCGCGCCGAGGGGCCCGGCAAGGCACGGGGCGCGCCGCGGCGTGGGGCCCCTCGGCGCGGCAGGTGCGGCCTCGGCGGAAGTCGGGCGTGCCCCATCTACAGGGCGAGAGTTCGAAGATGGTCCCAAAGTAGTATATCTCTGTTTTTTGTCTTTCATCTCTTTGCCTATTTCTGTTTGTTTTGTCTATTTTGTTTTTTTGTTTATTTCTTGTCTACTTATGTTTTCCGAGTTTTTTTATTTATATATATACACACACACACACGATTTTCTGTGTATTTTGGTATATTTCTGTTTTTTTTGTGTTGCACTTTTTTATTACCTAACAGCGAAGACTGATAGGTTTCTAATGGGGTCAAAAGAGAGCATCTGGTGACTCCCCAGGGGGGTCTGGGCGGGAGCCGGACAGGCGAGGGCCGGGTTCGTTTTATGTTGTAGATTGTATTTGCTGGGGTCAGGGACCCCCGTGTGCAGGAGTCAGCATGCTAGGGCAGAGAAGGAGCAAGCACTGCAGGTCCTTTGGCTTCGAGGGTTGAGAGGAAAAGCCTCGATATTGCTACATGGTAGCGGAGCTCGGTTCCTGTGCCCACGGGAGCTGAGCTCGCTCGCCGCGCCCAGACCTCCTGCCCGTGCTGGCGGAGATGGCGGCGATCGATGTCGTCGGCGTTCGGACCGACATGAGGCTTCAGAGGTTCGACGGTACGGACGAGAGATGGGCAGACTGGAGCCTCAGGTTCGAGGCCTACACCGCGCTGCTTGGCATGGAGGACCTCATGACGGAGGCGGCCAACAGGCGCGACCCACTGACAACGGACCAGCTGGGGGACCAGGCGAGAGCGGTCAGCCAGAGGCTCTGGCACCTGCTGATCACGTGGTGCGACGGCAAGTCGCTGGGTGTGGTCAAGCTCTCGAGGAAGAATGGCCTGGAGGCGTGGCGGCAGCTCAAGATCGAGTATGAGAGCAAGTCGGGCAACAGGTGGACGGCCATGCTGCGCTTCATCCTGAACCCTCAGGACAAGTGGGCGAAGGATCGGGAGTCGGGCATCGACTTCTTTCAGTCTCTCACGGCGTGGGAGGCCATCGTCGCAGAGTACGTGGACCAGAGCGGCGAGGCGGTCTCGGACAACGTTCGAGTCAGCGTGCTGCTAGAGCACGCGCCAGAGCCGTACCGTGAGGTCCTTCGGCAGGCGCCTGAGGAGGTGAAGCTCACGTTCGCAGCGGCTCGGAGTCACATCAGGGGCTACTACAATCAAGGGCGGACGTTCACCCACGTCCCAGACACTGGCGGGGTCGTGCCGATGCAGGTGGATGCAGTTCGAGTTGGACCGCATGGCGGCAAGTCGCACGGGAAGTCGGGCAAGACAGGCAAGATGGACAAGTCAGGGAAGGCTGGCAATAATGTGAAGGGCTGCAAGGACTCGAAGACGAAGTCCAATAACCGCGACGGCAAGCAGGGCCATGGCAAGGGCCAGTCCGACTACTTCGACGGCGAGTGTGGCTACTGCGGCAAGTGGGGCCACAAGCGGGCCGACTGCAGGAAGAAGAGGGCAGATGAGGCCAAGAAGGAGACTGGCAACACGCGCGCGGTTCAGGGAGATGGATCGGCCTCGAGCTCGGGACAGCAGCAGTCCGAGGGCGGGGTCCGCGCCGCGTCGGGCTACTACGACGGCGTTCCCGACGGCTGGGTGTTTGCGGTCTCAGCGGCGACGAGCGGCCAGGTGGCGAAGGTTGGAGGCTCCATCCTGATCGACAGCGGCAGCGACGACCACCTGTGCAGGCACAAGTTCGTCCCAGAGGCCCCAGTCAACAGTGCGACGGATGCCCCCAGGCTTTTCGACGTGCAGCAGCGACCGCTGCCCACAGCGGGCCTACGGGGTGTTGAGATGACGATGCAGGAGGGCATCAAGGCGACGGCAGACTTCCTCGTTGCCGATGTGAATGACGACCTGCTGAGCATGGGCAAGCTGCTCAGGCAGGGTTTCAGGTTCAACCTCAGTATGGAGGACGGGCTCTACATGACGAAGGGTCACCGCAGCGTGCAGCTCGAGTTGGAGCGGAACAGCCTTAGGCTCCCGA